AATTGTCGTATAATAAGTAATTAATATTTTTAATATATAATAAATAATACGTACCTATCATTATATAATATGTCATTTACCTGTTTTAAGCGAGATCCTAAATAATTATACAAGTATATGATGTAAAGAGAAAGGAAGTGATGATGATAGTAAGAAAGGCGAAAAGGTTGAAAAGGTTGAAAAGGTTGAAGTAGAAAAAAAAGAAAGTGATGATAAAAAAGTAGAAGAAGAAAAAGGAAAATAAATTATCATTATTATTATTAATTTATTAATATTATATATATATAATATTTATTAATATATATGTGTGTGTGTGTGTGTAAACTTAGCAAAGAAATTTAAAAATTTAAATCAAAATTTAAAAATTATATAAATAAATAAATATACATATTAAAAAAATAAAATGTAATTATTTAAATATTTTATGTCACGGGTCGATCGATACACACAACCCATTTAACATAATCATTAAATTTAATTCTATCAGTCAATCATATCAATGATGTAATCATCCATCTCTTAACTTTTCTCTCACAAAATTCAACAGAACTTTTGACGGCAAATATTGTAGACCTTGTGCAACACCTTTCCACATCCTTCGGCAAGATAGCAAAGACCATCCTTTATATTATGCCATCATGATTGATTACGCTGTAATACTTATTATTATTATAATAAAATAAAAGATTCACCCATTTCTGTGAATGTGTAAGATTCAAAAACAATTTAGATCCGTGGATCAGTGAACTTGCTGCGGAAAAACTAATTTCTATGTCCCCAAAGAAAAAAACTGTATATCAATAATCTTTGAGTTTTTTCTGTATGCTGCACACACAAATAAATAAATAAATAAATTTTATGAATAAAATTTTTATTTCTGGTGTTATTTCAAAAACCAACCCACATTCTCTCCTTCTAATTAAAGATGTTTCAGTGCTATCACCAGAAAAAGCAGATTAATATTTTACAGGAGAAATGTCACATCATGAAGTATTGGCAGCATTGGCAAAGGATAAAAGTGTATTTTATGTAAATATTAATTATTTAATTACCAGACTCCAATTGTTGATTTTTGT